CCTGAGCTGGAAAGTTCGGGGTAAGGGTCCCAGTATGCCAACTATACCCAGTAACAGGTAGGGACTACGGGATGCTGGAAAAGCCTGGAGGCCAGGTTTGCTTTGATATGTTAAATAGGTACTTCAGCTGCTTCCTCTGGGTTTGAATCTTAACAGTTTTGTTTGCTTTTTTTTTTTTTTTTTAAGACAGGGTTTCTCTGTTTCTCTGTTTCTCTGTGCCTTGACTGTCCTGGAACTCTGTAAACGGCTGGGCTCAAACTCACAGAGATCCTCCTGCCTCTGCCTCTGCCTCCCAAATGCTGGGACTAAAGGATGTGCCACCACCACCCAGCTTTTTAAAAAATTATTTTATGTATGTGTTTTACCTGAGTATGTGTGTGTTTCCTGTGAGTGCCTGGTGTCATGGATGCCAGAAGAGGGCACAATCACCTAGAAGAGTTGTGGGCTGCTGTGTGAATGCTAGGGACTGAAGTTGGGTCCTCTGCAAGAGCAGCCAGTGCTCTTGAACCGCCTCTCCAGAACCTGGGTTGTCTTTTTATTCTTTCCCTCCCTCCCCTTCTTCTCTGAGACAGCATGTCCATATGTATTCCAAGCTGGCCTAGAACTCTTAATCCTCCTGCCTCAGCCTCCAAAATGCTGAAAGTAGACATATGCAGGCATGGGATGCAGGAACTGGTTGGGATCTCCTAACACATAATAACAGTAGGTGGGGAGAAGAGAGAAAGAAATGCAAGAATTGCCTGGAGGAAGCATCAGGCACCAGCAGACTCTACCTACTCCTTTTAGAGAACAGCTACAGTAGAAACGTGAAATTTTGAGAAAGGGGCTGTAAACAATCAGCCATCTTCTGGGGTGGGGAGATGGCTCAGCAGCTAAGGGTGACAGTATTTACCAGTTTATCATACAAGAAGGCTCCTTTGGGTTCCTTGAACCCACATAAATGTCAGTGGCTGGATGAAACAGCTCCCACAAAATTCCTGACACCAACTTCAGACCTCCACATGCATGTCCAGACGTGAACACACACATGCTTACCACAGACACATGGAAAGGACGAGTACGTGTGTGTGTGTGTGTGTGTGTGTGTGTGTGTGTGTGTCTGTCTGTCTGTCTGTCTGTCTGTCTCTCCTCCCTCCCTCCTCACCCAGCAGGAGCCAGCTCCAGCTGACAAGGGAGGCTCAGTAGGTTGGGATTTGGGTGTGGTTTGTCAACTAAATTCACAAGCATAGTTCATTGCAAATATTTAGCTACCACCCTTTCCTGATCAGTGTTTTAGCTTTCCTTGGAGACTGTATATGTGTGTCAATTAAGCATAAACACTTGGTGGTGCTGAGAACCCAGCATTGTGTTGGGCGTGCCACCTTTTTACATCTTCCCCTACTGGGGTGTGTTCTGCAAAATTTCTTACATAGTCTTACAGCAGAGTCACAGGAAAGCCCCTGGGTTTTAAATTGACAGTTGAGCTAATTATTTACAATTCTGATACTGTCACTGTGAAGATGTCAGCACTTTTGAAATTGATTTGGCAGCACACACCTGTAATCCCAGCACGTAAGTGAAGGCAGGAGAACCAGAGGTTTAAGGTCACCCTCAGCTATATAGTGAGTTGAAGGTCAACCCCACAAGAGAGATTGTGTCTCAAAAAACAGAAGCTAGGTGCGCGTCTAATCCCTGCATTTAGGAAGGGAAGACAGAAGGATCAGAGTCCAAGATCCTTGGCTACATAGTAAGTTTGTGGCCAGCCTGGGCTACATGAGACCCTGTCACAAAACACAATTTCAGTACTATCGGGAGCGATAATAAAAGCTGGGTATGGTGGTGCCGTCCATACCCAACACCTAGGAGTCAGAGTTTAAGGCTAGCCTGGGTTACATGGTGGAAAAACAACATACGGGGGCTGGAAAGATGGCTCTGTGGGTTAGGGCACATGTTGCACAATCATGTCTTGGGTCTAAATCCCCAGAACTCCACTTAAGACCAGGTGTGGCCTCTCCTGCTTGTAACTCCAGAGTTGGGAAGGGTGGTAACAAGATGACTTCTGGGGCCGGCTGGCCTTAAGCCTGGCTCTAGGTTGAGAGAGAGATCCTGTCCTAAGGGATTAAGGCAGAGTGACAGAGCATGGTATCTAGTGCCTGCCTCCGGCCTCCATGTATGTGCACAGGTGCCTGTAACCATGCCCCCCCCCCATGCACATACACCGCATATGCACACACACAAAACAGGCCAGGCATGGTGGTCTATGCCTTTAATACCAGCGCTCAGGAGACATTAGCGCTCTGAGTTTAAGGCCAGCCTGGTCTACAAAGGGCAGCCTAGGGCTACACAGTGAAATGCTGTCTGAAAAAACAAAACAGCAGTCAGAAGATTGCCGCAGTTGTTTTTGTTTGTTGGTTTGTTGAGACTGGGTTGTGTAGCCTTGGCTGTCCTAGACTCACTTTGTAGACCAGGCTGGCCTCAAACTCAAATAGTGACCTGCCTCCCTGAGTGCTGGGATTATAGGGATGGGCCACTGAGCCCAGCTCCCAGTTCTTTATCTTGTAGTATCCTTCATATACTCCTACAGTGTTTGCATTTGGAAGCTCCAAGCCATGCCTTTAAATTGGCACATCAGTACACAAATTAATTCCTCCACTCCTTGGCTAGTTCCCACAGGCTCTGAAAACTCCACTGTTAATGTCCACTGCATTCTCCTTCATCCCAAACAATTAGCCAGTCTCCACTCTTCACCAGTCTCACTTTTCAGTAAGGGTCAGAACAGGATTCCACTAAGTTCTGTCAGTTACGTTTGTGAAACAATGCTTGGTGGATGACCCACAGGTTAAATCAGGGAATAAACAGGAATAAAGACTAGCTATGAAGAAAAGCCACCATCAAAGCAGAGCCGGGGAGCCAGTGTGTAGGACGCCCGCTGCTGCTGGACACAGGAACCAGCCTGAACTGTTGTCTTTCCCTGGCATTCAACACTGGATCCAAGGGTTGGCAACACAGACATCATTGTGCCTGCCAATTTGAAGCTGCTGCCACGGACACCAGAATGAAGTGCCCACTGTCCTTGTTCCCGTGTCATTAGTTTCAGATTGAAAGTCCCAGATAAGTGCATCTGATTGGCAGAGCCTGAGTCAAGGGCTTGCATCCCAGCTGGGTGGAGCAGCAACAGTTCTCACTGGTCGGCGCGGCTTCTTTTGGGGACAAGGAGTCCCTCTAGGAGAGGTAGCCAGAAGCTGCAAGTGCCCCTTACATTTATGTTGCTCTAGGCAGATGCCCATGATGTTCTACTTAGGTACAAGCTTGCTTTTGCAGAACTGCTAGTTCTTTCCTAAACTGCAATAAAATACTCTGCCAAGGACTAAGAGTGCTTAGTGGAGGAGAGCGCTTGCTACGCTTACGGAGGATGAGTTGGATCCCTAGCATCCACATAGCAGCTTACAAGTACTTTTAACTCCAGTTCCAGAGGGGTTCAATGCCAGTGCAATTTGCTCACAGGGACATTGGCACTAGCTCTTTGCAGATCTGTTCTCATCACAGGCCTCTCAGTAGGCTGCTTGAAGTTCCTCAGCCACAGACACTGGCTTCCCCCAGAGGGAATGCCATAGCCTGTTCCAGATGCTGTAAAGTGCCATTAACTGGGCTTCTAATAGCAACTTCTTTCTCAAAGTTCAGGACCTCAAAAGGGCCTGCTCCTTGGTTCACAGATGGCTGTCTTCTGATTCATCCTTGCATGGCAAAGGAAGCCAGTCATTTTTCTCTATCACCTAACAAAGGCCCCTCCTCCCTATAGCATCATAGCAGAGGTAAGTTATGTGTTGAACATAGGCATTGGTCTATAGAAGAAAGCCATCCCCGAGACCATGGTATAGGCCAGATCACCCTTTAAGACCTACTCTCATAGATGGGCATTGTGGTGCACGCCTTTAATCCCTGCACTCAGGGAGGCAAAAGCAGGCAGATCTATGTGAGGCCAGCCTGGTCTACAAAACACACAGACACATACATACAAACCTAACCTCGGAACTCCCATCTTCCTTCTGCCATACTGCTAGTCTGACAGGTAGGCCCTGACTCAGAAGACACCAAGATGGAAGACTACAAGAGGATTCTTGAGTGCTATCCTGGAGACTGGCTGCCTCATGAGTGTGCGTGTCTGTCCCAGGACAACTGAAGGCAGAGGTCCTGCGCAGGAGAAAGAGAATGGTCCATCAGGGCAGGAAGTATGCTGGAGAAAGCAGACTCATGCTTCCTGCTTCATTCTGAACCACGCCACAGATCCTTCCAAAACTCTGCCACAACATAAAGGAGAAAACCAGAAAAATGACAGGGGAGAGAAAGTGGCCATGAAAGGCATTGTAAAAGATGTATCATCTATACAAAATTTTTAAAATGGAAAAAAATGTTACATATAAAGCCAGTTTTTTAAATCTATCCAAACAATATTCAAGGGCAGGCATAATGGTGCAAGCCTATAATCCCAACCCTTGGGAAGCAGAAGAGACCTATGTGTTTGAGGCCAGCCTTGTCTACTTAAGTGACTTTTGGACTAGCTGGGCTACATTGAACTGTCTCAAAAAAAGGGGGGTACGTGGGAAAAGGGTGAGAGGAAACTTCTTGAATTAATAATAGCCTCAGATATTTTAAATAATAATAGCCTCAGGATATTTTAAGTCAAACTTTTTTAATTATCAAAGATCAGTTATACGATTCTGCCAGAATGTTCAAATGCCAGGCCTCCTTGCAATAAAGTTGGGTTGTGGGCCTATCTCTTTATTTTTAACACAGGGTCTCACTATGTAGACCAGCCTGACTTAGAACTCCCAGAGATCCACCTGCCTCTGTCTCCTGAGTACTGGGATTAAATCTGTGGACCTATCTTAGTGGTAGATCCCCTGCCTGGCTTGTTGAAGCCGAGTCTAATCTCTAGCAACACGTATATGAGAAACCTCTATGATGAATCTACCCTCATCATCCCACTGCACAGTCCCAGGATAAAACCCCACTCAGAGGCATGCAGCAACATCTTTTATTAGGTACAGAAGTTTTGAATGATCGCTTCAATTTCTCCATGTTCAGGCAAAACTGTGTGTGTCATTTAATGCACTAGAGCTTACCAAATGAATCTCTACCTAGAGAAGGGAAAATTAACCCCAGCCTGCTTAACCAGGAGGCCACTTCATCTGCCGACCCCCAAGAACATGAAGATGAATATGATAGACAGACTGTCCCCCGTCTGCACCTTCATTCACCACCATCCGATAACCCCGCTTCAGGCCCAGATCTGCAGCGCACTTCTTGCCAACAATCATTAAATGTCCTAGAAGCTGGGAAAGAAAAAACAAGTTTCTTAAACATAGGAAATGTACACTTCTGGCCATTAAATAACAAGCAGTCAAACTGGGCATGGTAGAGCATGCCTTTAATCCCAACATTCAGGAGACAGAGGCAGGCCAGTCTCTGTTGGGTTCCAGGCCAGCCTGGTCCACATAGAGACACCCTGGGTCAAAAAACCCAAAACAACAACTACAAAATCAGTGAAATAAAATGTGTAAGAAATGTACTTACACTCTCATCATCATCTTCTGCTACAGAAATCTGGGATATATGCTTCTTGGGTATCACCAGAAAGTGTGTTGGTGCTTGAGGGGAAACGTCATGAAAAGCAAGACACTAGGGGGAAAAAAAAAAAAACAGACGCGTTAGTCTATCACCCACGAGGCTAAAACATACTCTCTGACAAGTATTAAGCATTAACTGAATGGGAGGTACTGAGCTAGAAAAACAGAACTGTACACAATTCACATGGCTTCATGATCCTATTCATGTAACTTTAGAGTCTTTACGGTGGATGGACTTTAGGCAGAGACGTAATTCTTAGAGGTCAGACATGTTATAAAAGTAAAGGGTGAGGTGGATGATTACCACAAAAAGATGTGCTTTAGACTGAGTGATCAAGGACAAGCACTTCGAGGCAGTGACCCTGATCTGTGACAATGTGTGTGGTTTGAATAAGAACAGCCCTCATAGGCTCACTTATTAGAATGCTTAGTCATCAGGGAATCTCTCTTTCTCTCCATGCTCTCCTACATGATAATGGACTAAACCTCTGAAACTGTAAGCAAGCTCCCAATTAAATGTTTTCTTTTAGCAGTTCGAGGTGACGTACGCCTTTAGTCCCAGCGCTCGGGAAGGCAGAGGCAGGCTCTGTGAGTTTGAGGCTAGCCTGGTCTACAGAGGGATGTCCAGGACAGCCAGAAATACACAGAGAGACCCTGTCTCAAAAAACAGGAAGGAAAATTTTCGAACAAAGATCCTTAGATTTCAGGGTAAGCACTCTTAGCTACTGAACCATCTCCCCAACCTCTATCATTATACAATCAGAAACAAACCCGATTCCCTTCCCCTTCCCACCTTTTCCATATCAGAGTCCTCATTGCGCAATTGCCTGTAGTTTTGTTTTACTTTGCAGGTTACTGCCTGTGTGGGTGTTTTATAGCTCTTGCTCTCTTCCTTATGGAACCCAACCATACTTTTTTTTGGCTAGGGAATAATTTTACTTGCTGTACCCTACAAAATGCTGTGTCACTTAGAATGTTTCAGCCAATTATAACGAAGTTCAGTCATTATTTCAAAGACCATTTATCAAAACAACTGTGGTTCTGTTTGTTTGTTTGAAAGTGAGGTCTTCTTGTAGACCAGGTTGGGCTGAACTTGTACTGTTTCTCTTGCCTCCACCTTCCAAGTGCAAGAATCCCAGGGGGATGATTTTGTGTTTAAAGCTTTTCCTGTTTTGTTTTGCTTTGTTTTTGAGACAGGGTCTCACTTTATAATACAGGCTGGTCTGTAACTCCTGGCTCAGCCTTCTGGATGATATTACAGGGCATGCTACAACAACTTCAAACTTTTTTAGATGAAACGGGGCTTTTTCTAAGACAAAGACACTGCCCCAACTGGTGACAAATACAAGCAATTTAAATAAAACTCACCTCAAGGAACCAAATTAAATTTGGGGTAATATTTTGGATCGCTATGAACATTACCAGTAGCATTAATGCTTTCTCCTATTTCTTAAAGTGAACTGAACAAACCATATACAAAACTTTCTAGTCAACGGGCCAAGCTCCCACCCAGTGAGAACTAGGAAGTAATTTACAAAAATGGTCTTCAATGTCGACCGCGATTTCATGTCTATCACAGAAGAAAAATAGATAAATAAATAATTAACCCTTTGATCTTGCACCATAACTGTTTTCTTGTTCAGCAGGGAGTAAGTGGCGTAGTGGGCCGCCTGCAATCCTAGCATCTGGCAGGCGGAGGCAGGAGGATTAAGGGTTCAAGGTCAGCCCCAGTTAGTTACTCAGCGATTTCGGGGTCAGCCTGGGGCACGTGAAAGCGACATATGTTATTTATATATATATATATATACACACACACACACACACACACACACACACACACACACACACAATATACATATACATATATATGTACACAAAGCAACCTAAAGCAATGTTTTTCTAAAAGGCTGAAGGGTTGATTCCAGAGCCCAGGGGCACCCTCTGCAGCGGGACCGGGGAGCTGATGGCCCTGGCCTCCCCGGTCACCTCGCAGTGCGGGGACCGCTGCGCGCGGGAGATCGCGGAGATTGCGCCGGGGGCACGATCGGGTTTCTCGCGGGCCAGATTGACGCCTGCGAGGTGGGTGGCGGCCTCGGGGGCCCCGGAGGGCGTCACCCCACGGATCGGCCCTCACAGGGGCCCCGGACGGGGCGTCACCTCCGGGGCCTCCGCCCGCGGCACCTCGGCGGCACGCGGCGGGCCGAGCGGCCGATAACGCGTAACCGGAGCGCAGGCACGCGCCGCGGGGCCACGCGGGCGCAGGGCCAGGCCAGCCGGGCCGAGCGTCGCCGCAGGCCCGCGGCTCCTCAGGGAACGCCGGCGTGTCGCCCGGCCGCAAGCCTACCCTGTCGTCCTCGAAGATGATCTTGGCGGGGATTTCCTTGCGGATGATCTTGCCGAAGATCGTGTCGCCGCCGGGTTGGGCCACTTGAGCCTTGGCAATCTCGTCGGCCATCGCGGCTGCTCGCTGCCCTTCCCGCGCCGCGGCCACGGTGGGGAGAGGAACGGCGGGAGCGCGCGGGGACTGCCGGCTCGCGCCCGGTCGGCCTGCGCATGCGTGCTGGCGCTGGCGCGGCGGCTGCTGCGAGCAGGAGAGCGAGAAGGGCTTCGCGTGTGCACGTCTATAGGAAAATTTGATTTGCCGGCTCCAGGAGGAGGCTCGGTTTGGTACACTGTTGCCAAGCATGCTCGGAGTTCTAGGTTTGATCTCCAACTCCTCACAGGCCGGTCCTTGGTGCCTGTAATCCCAGAGTTTGAGAGATGGAGGCAGGAGGATGGAAATTCAGTTGGTCCCCAAGATAGCGAGTTTGAGGCCTGCCTGGGTTACCTGAGACCCTGTCTCAGGGCAGTCTGTCTTCTAGCTCATGGGGTGCTGATCACGTTTGCTGGCTGTGATACCTTAACCTTTCTTTTACAATTTTTCTAAGATTTATCTTTATGTATAGAGTATTTTGCGAGCAAGTGTGTGTGAGCGCACCACATCCAATGCCTGGTATTCCCTGGAACTGGAGTTAGAGGGTTGTGAGCCGTGTGGGCGGAGGGAACTGAAACCCAGCCCTCTGCAAGAGCAGCAAGTGCTCTTAATCCTGATCATTTAAACCCTTGGCTATTTAAGGTTTTGGCTAGAGCTGTGAAGTCTTGCATCCGTTGTTTGTTTGTTTTTGTTGTTTTACTGTGTGTGGCAGTAGCTCCCCATCTTAACTACATACCAAAAATCACTTGGGAGCTCTTTAAACATCTCTAGCCACACTCCAGATCAATTAAGTCCAAATCTGCAGAGATGAGGCCTAGGTTGCAGTTGTTTGTAAGCCTCTAGGGACCAGCTTCAGGTAAGATGTCCCACCTGGAAGGAACAAAACCTTTCTTGGCCCCTCAGCTCCTCCTTCCTATCCCTTTGCTTTTTTTTTTTTTTTTTTTTTTTTTAAGATTATCTATTTATTATGTACACAATGTTCTGCCTACATGCCAGAAGAGGACACCAGATTTCATTCTAGATGGTTGTGAGCCACCGTATGGTTGCTGGGACTTGAACTCAGGACCTTTAGGAAGAGCAGCTAGTGCTCTTAACCTCTGAGCCATCTCTCCAGCCCCCAGATCCTTTGCTCCTCTTAAAAGGTGTTTTCCAAGCTAGGTGTGGTGGTGCACACACCTTTAAATCCCAGCACTCTGGAGGCGAGGTAGGCAGATCTCTGAGTTCGAGGCCAGCCTTGTCTACAGAGTGAGTTCCAGGATAACGAAGGCTACCCAGAGAAACCCTGTCTCAAAAAAAAAAAAAAAGTTTTCTACACATTGTGCTAGCTTTGTCACCTTTGGTTCTTTGAGTCCATTTCCTTCTTGTCAAGATTCAGCAGGACCTCCATTCACAACATTCTGCAGACAGTACCACTTGTCACAGATCTGTTGGCATGGGTTGCCACTGTTGTTACTGTTATCTTCTTTCAACATCTCTACTCCTTTGCTCCTCTGGATGGTATTGTCTCCTGCACACTGAGCCTCCATTTTCATAACTCACTGGAGTCTGCTCTTGGTTTTCCTCTCTGACAACCCCCAAGTGGCCATTGTAAGAAACCTTAAAGGCTCAGAGAGGTGGCTCAGCGATCAGGAATACATACTGTTCTCTAAGAGACCAGCTCAAACACCACAGCTACCTGTAACTCCTGCTCTGGGGGAATCTTCTGCCTCTGGTTTACCAGGGTGCCGCCAATCACACGTGGATATGTGCACACTCAGACGCACACATAAATACATAATTAAAAATAAAAAGGAAAGCTTAAGCCAAGCAGTGATGGTCCATAACTTTAATGCCAGCACTTGAGGGCAGAAGCAGAAAGATCTCTGAGTTTGAGGCCTTGGACTACAGAACAAGTTCCAGGAAATCCTGTCTCAAAAAAAAAAAAAAAAAAAAAAAAGGAAAACTTAACTACGTCCTCTGAATTGCACTTGTTTGATGATTTTTGGCCACTTTGCCTTAACAAAATTATTACCATTATTGAGACAGGGTTTCATGTAGCCCAAGCTGGCCTCCAGCTTGCTATGTAGCTAAGGACGTCCTTAAACTCCTGATCCTTCTTCATCCACCTCAGAGTGCTGGGATTGCAAGCCTGCAACACATACCTGGCTTGGTAGTGGTTCCTGGTAGTCTCAGTGTCCCATTCTTTGTTAGCAGAGGCATTACTGGTACTTTACAATCACTGATAAATAATATCTATACGTAAGACATTAGTTTTGAAGTCATGTTCATTTCTTTCTATAACTACAGAGAGGTCCTCAGTATCAGCTGGCCTTGGCTTGGGGTCCTCTAGGTTATGTTTCTAGTATGTTCCAGATGATGTTACTGCTTTTGGCCCTGATACTTTGCTTTGAGGACCAGTGATGTAATGTTGTTGCAGGGAAAACCCCATTTATGTATTTAGAGGCAAAGGAGTATTATATCTGCAACTTACTCTTTTTAAAACATTACTTATTTTGGTTTTTCAAGAAAGGGTTTTTCTTGACAGGTGTGTGTGTGTGTGTGTGTGTGTGTGTGTGTGTGTGTAGCCCTGGCTGTTCTGTAACTCACTCTGTAGACCAGGCTGGCCTTGAACACATCCACCTTCCTTTGCCTCCCCAGTGCTGGAGTTAAAACATGCACCGCCACTACTCCCAGCATTCTTTAATCTTTACATTGTTTTGAAGGTTATGAACTCTTTTCCTATAGACATTCATTAGACGAAATGGATTATTGTAAACTACTTCACCAAACTTTGCCATGGGGCTCTAAAACTTTACTTAATAAAAAACCATGAGAATATGGATATGTGATAATACATAAATGCTACTTAAATTCAATGCCGCTGCCCATACCAATATTATCTGGACAAGTCCATGTGTGTTCATTATCCATCTTCTGTGGCTACTGTTAGACTACAGCAGTGCAGACCAACAATAATGACAGAGGGGCTGGAGAGATGGCTCAGCGGTTAAGAGCACTGTCTGCTCTCCCAGAGGTCCTGAGTTTAATTCCCAGCAACCACATGGTGGTTCACAACCATCTCCACTGGGATCTGATGTCCTCTTCTGCCATAACAGTGTACATGCAGAGAGAGCACACACACACATATACTTGAATTTGCTGTTTAACTGTGGATGACCTTGAACCCTTGGCCCCCCTGCCTCTACACCCAGCCAAAATGATGTTCATAAAATGTAAACCATGATGTAATTCTCCTGCTGATTCCAGGGCATGCTATCCCAGAATGATATCCAAAATCCTTACTTTGACTAATAGGAACCTTTGTGACCATGTCCCGTTTCTCCTCCTTCATTTACTTCCGTTTCAAGCTTATTGACTGGCATCATACAAACTGGATGTAGCAGGCAGAATATGCCCACGTCCTAATTCCAGGATCCCATGAACATGTTATTAAGTAAAGGGTATCTTGCAGCAGTGATTAAATTAGGGATCCTGAAGGAGGTGGGCACCTGAATTATCAGGGTGAACCCAGAGTAACCACAGGTCTCTTGAGAGGAGAGATGTGATGATCTAGCAAAGGTAAGAGATACTGGTTTAGATGATGGATGGGTGGCATTCTGGAAGTCCTAAGCCAGATTTGTTTCCACTGAGCGAAACTCATGTTAGCAGAAGTGCATTCTTCCTGGAGGCTCTAGAGGGCAGTCCATTCCCTTGTGTTTTCCAGCTTCCAGCGATCCCATGCTTCCTTTAATTTGTAGTATCTTTATTCATCTTCAAAACCAGCAGCTGAATATCTTTAAACTTCCCTGTTTCCTTCTTCCACTTTTTTGTTTGTTTGTTTGTTTGTATGTTTTTTGAGACAAGGTTTCTCTATGTAGCCTTGGCTGTCCTGGACTGGACTTGTAGACCAGGTGGTCCTCGAACTCACAGAACTCTGCCTGCTTCTGCCTCTCTTGAGTGCTGGGACTACAGGCCTGTGCCACTGTGCCAGCTTCCTTTTTCGACTTTTAATGTGACTCATTAGGCCCACCAGACAATACAGAAAAAGCTTCCCACCTGAGAATATTAGTCTAACCCACCAGCCAAAACCCCTTATTCCTGCAGGGTAATACAATGTGAAGCTCTGGACATCTGGGTGCACACATGTTTTGGAGGGCATTATCCTGCCAGGCACATAGCTCCAGGAACTTACATTATGAATATATGTAATTTTCAAATTGAGTTCTGGGGTTTCTTCAGTTCAGTTTGCATGTCCGGATGAAAACCAGGACGTGTTCCCAGAATAACCAGATGATAAGTAAAGAGTGCTGAGCCATCTCATTTTCCTTCATCTGTGGAGCAGCTGAAGAAACTGCACCTTGTTTAAGAGAAGACTCACAACACTCACAACGGAGCAGTGGTGGTACACAACTGTAATATCAGTACTCGAGAGCCAGAGGCAGGTGGATCTCTGCTAGAGTTCAAGGCCAGCCTGAGCTACAGATCAGTCCAGGACAGCCACGGCTTTACAGAGAAACCCTGTCTCGAAAAGAAAAGAAGAAGGAAACTGGGTTATAATCCTAAAGTGAAAAAAAAAATTTTTTTTTAAAGGTTACTCCAGAAAGCACTACAGTTGAATGTCACAAGACCATCTTATTGTTCCTTGGAAAAAAGCCAATAGCCACTACACTTGATTTAATTGGTTATATTAAATGCTCTTCTTTTTAAGAACATCGATAACATTTTTTTTGAGATTTTATTTTTATGTGTATGAGTGCCTGAATGTTTGTCTACACCATATTCGAGTGGTGTCCTTGGAGACCAGAAGAGGGTGTTGCAGCCCCTGGGACTGGAGTTAGTTTTTAGCTGCCATATGGGTGTTGGGAATAGATTCCAGGTTCTCTGGAAGAACAGCCAGTGTTCTTAAACTCCTTGCCAGCTCTACAGCCCTCAATAACAATTTTTAAAAGCTGGCTGTTCTTGCTGCTGTCATGATGACTTGCTAGGCATATTTTTACACACGTGTAATCCCAGCCTCGGGGAGGCAGAGACAAGATCTCTGAGGCCAGCTGTGTCAGCCAGTGTAGCCTAACCAGTGAGTTCTAGGCAAATTCTAGGTCTCAAACAAAGTAGAAGGCTCGTCTGAGGAAGAGCACAGGTGTGGTGGTCTGACTTTAATTCTAGCACTCCAGAGGCAGGCAGATCTCGGAGTTTGAGGCCAGCCTGATCTATATAGCAAGCTCCATAACAGCCAGGGCTATAATAAGACCCTGCCTCAAAACCTGAAAAAAAAAATTTTTTTTTCTCTTTGTTTTTTTGATTGAGATAGTCTCATATATGCTAAGCTGTGGCTGTCCTTGAACTCCTGATGCTCCTGAGTTTACCTCCCAAATGCTGGGCTTACAAGCAGGCACCACCACACCCAGCTCCCAAATCTTTGGTTAATAAACAGTCAGTTTTACGTAAAAGTAACCCGAAATGTTACAGTAGCGTTGAAGACAAACGATTGTGAAATAGGAGCAAGGTGGGTATTTTCATCCATGCCTGCAAGCCGTAAATTAAAATAAATATAAATGTTTTATGGTTATGACTATGAAGCTTTCAGTGATTTCCTACCTCAGCAAAACCAAAGATCAGGGCAAGGCAAGTAGGGAAATGACAATGCAGAAGGTGAACAATCTCTGGGATCAAACGTGTGGGCTTGAGCAGGCAGCTCAACCGGACCCTCTGGGGGAATAATTAAGCGAATGTACAAACAGAACTTTAAGGAGTCAGCGGTCTGATCTGTACCGGCTGCGGTTCTTAGGGCTTGGCGTTTGTTTGCGCACGTTTCCAAGGAGACCGTCACCGCCGGGAAACGTTAAAATACGGACCCGCCCTTACACAGGAGGTGAAAATGAGCAGGTTCCGCGGCCACCCGTTAACAACCAGGCGTGAACGAAAGCCGGAGAAGGCTCTGCCCCTAACAAACATGGCGTCTCGGCTACTTCCGTTCTTCCCGTGATTTGCTTCCGCGGCCTCTCGCAGTCCTACTTTGGGATTTGCTCAGCAAGCGCCTGGCCTTCGTCTGGCGGAGAAGGCGGGCAAGATAGGATGTGCCACGTTCTGAATGGTTGCTACGCGAAAGCGTTGCCGGCCACGCCCTGGCCCTGATTGGTTGCCGGGGGAGGGGGCGGGCTCGAGAGGCGGAGGCAGCGGCGTGGGGAGCCATGGGTCAGCCAGCCAAGGTGACAGAGCCGGGTAGGAGGGTGCTGAGGCTCACGATCCTAGCAAGGGCGGGAGGCGACCCCAAGGGCGGAGAGTGGAGGAGGGGGACAACCTTGAGGGCCGCTGAGTGGGAGAGGGTGACGGATTTGAGGGCAGCGAGTGAGGAGGGCGACGACCCCGAGGGACCGCGGACGGAGGAGGGGGATAGCCATGTGGGAGAGTGAAGGATGAGTGACAGTGTCAAGGGGCGGCAGTGGAGGAGGGGGACAGTGAGTGAGGAAGGAGAGGCCCCGAGTGGCGGTGAGTGGAGGGGGGTAACAGCCATGAGAGACAGTGAGGAGGATGACATAACCATTCAAGATGGTGAGTGGAGGAGAGCGATGATCATAAACTGACCTTTGCCCTAGTAAGTCCAGCAGTAGGAAGATTATAAACAATTAATAAAACCGGAGGAAGTTCTTCAAATTAAAAACACTGGATGTTGTAGTCTGGCGCGATGGCACACGCTTGTAATCTCAGCACTCAGGGAGACAGACAGGTGGATCTCTGAGAAGTTCGAGGCCAGCCTGGACTACAAAGAGAGTCCAGGACAGCCAAGACTATACAGAAAAACCCTGTCTTGAAAAACAGGAACAACAAAACAAACAACAACCCTCCAGCATGTTTTGTGAACCTGTAACCAGGATTTACCTTAGAGGAAAACAGAAATCTCTATAGAGGGAGAGGCAGCACTGCCGAGCCTATTTGTTGATGGCAATCCCAGGCAATATAGATCTTGTCTCAAAATTTAAAAATCACAAGGAACTATAGGAAGAGACCTGAAGTTTGATTCGGAATTAGGAGGGGCTGTCCTCAGCGAGCCCAGGCTGGCTTCCAACCCACAGCAATCTTCATGTCAAGTGCTGGGGTTTCTGCATTTGAAAAGACGTTTCTTAGTATGGCTGTGGTTGTGTTTAGCTCACTATTAGAGCCATTGCTTAGCATTTTCATGGCCCTGGCTTCCATGCTGAGAACTACATAAGTAATAAAATATATGATTATTAACTCCAATGTAGTATTGGTTTCAATACCTTTATTTTATTTGCATGGGTGTTTTTCCTGCATGTATGTCTGTGGACCATGCGCATTCCTGGTACCCACAGAGGCCAGAAGAGGGTGTCAGATTCCCTGGAACTGAAGTTACAAGGGGTTGTCAGCCGCCATATGGGGAATGGGGGGAACTGAGTCCTCTGAAAAAAATGGCCAGTGATAGAGCCATCTCTCCAGCTCCCATTTTCTTTTTATTAAGAGAATGGTCTTAGTGGTGCTGTTTGGTTTGAGGCTATGGTCTTAAACTTTGGGATCAAGTTATCCTCCTCCCCATGTCCCAAGAGGCTGGGACTACGGGTCACCTAGTCGTGAGTGTGGTGGGTGTGTATGTGTGTGTATCTTTACTTAGTTTGTATTTTATTTTGTAGTGCTGAGAATGAACCCAGGCCCCACTACATGCTAAGCCCAGTCTACTGTGGTGCCTTTAAAAGTCTGTATTCCTAGCAACAATCTCTGCAAGGCAGTCAGCTCTTATTGTTAAGCACTTGAGAAAAGTCCATTCCGTACACATCACTCATTTCCAAAGCCACCCCCAAAATTTTTTGGTTGTTATGGTTCCCCATTCCCCCCATACCAAGTGTGTTAGTTTCCTGTGATCTGTGATTGTCTTAACAAAGTATGGGACAAGCATCCAAGAACAAAACAAAACTAAATCTGAAATGCTCATAAATAAATCTTATTTTTTTCCATTTTCATGTGTGTACTTGTGTGCACATGTATATGAATACTTCTCTTGCTCATCTACCTTTTTTTTTTTTTTTTTTATTGAGGCAAAGCGGCTCAGTTAAGCCCAGAGCTCTTCAGTATGAGTATGGCTAGTCTTGCTAGCCAGTTGCTCTAAGCTTATTGTCTCTGCCTTCTAGGGCTGGAAATACATCAACCCTGCATTTTTGTGGGTTCTGAGGACCCAAATTCCAGTTCTTACCTTTCAGCACAAGCATTTTAATCACCAACCAATCTCCCCAGACCTAAATCTAATGTGGATTTTTTGTCAGCCTGGATTTTCTATTTTTCGTTTATTTTTGTTTCTCTTTTTTGTTTTTAACTGCTGAGCCATCTCTCTAGCCTTCTACATTTATTGTCTTGTTTTTTATTTTTATTTCTTTTAAGATTTATTTATTTATTATGTATATGGTGTTCTGCCTGCACACCAGAAGAGGTCACCAGATCTCATTATAGGTGGTTGGGGGCCACCATGTGGTTGCTGGGACTTGAACTCAGGACCTGTGGAAGAGCAGCCAGTGCTCTTAACCTCTGAGCCATCTCTCCAGCTCTGTTTTTAACTTTTTAAAATTTTTATGTGCATTGATGTTTTGCCTGCATTCATGTCTGTGTAAGGGTGTCAGATCCCCTGGAACTATAGTTAACAGACAGTGTGAGCTACCATGTGGGTGCTGGGAACTGAACCCAGGTCCTCTGGAAGAAGGAACCAACCAGTGTTCTTTAAGTGGTAAGCCATCGCTTCAGCAACTTTTTTTTTTTTTTTTTGAGACTTTGACACATGCATGTGTGTCTTATGGTCTTTTCCATTCCCTCCACTCCAGTTTCCACCACGATTCCTTTCCAGTTTCATGGATCACCAAAACATCAGCCCTCTGTGCGCTCACCTCCCTCTCCCCACCCCGTTCACGCCACTTTGCGTTTCAGAAGGGTGCAGTTAGCAGTCCCTAACACCTTCTTGGGCTCTTAAGATAGAATAAGTTCCTGATTACGTGTGTATGCCTCAAGAGCAGATGAAAGGTACAGGTTAAGAAGGCAATAAACCCGTGCAAACTGGCAGAGTTCACTATGTTAGCACACTGGGGTTTTGTCCAGATGACTAACAGTTTTGTTTTGAGGGCATTGTCGAAACACACTCTCATGTAGCCCAGGTTGGCCTTGAACTCACCGCATAGCAGAGGCTGACATTTTGTAAACAGTTTTGTAATATATTGGTAGTAGTTGGAGCCTAGGGCCTTACCTGTATTATGTTGCTCACTCTATCTCTGAGTTGTATCTCCAACTGCTACTTTTTTTTATATGTTTCTGTGTGCATGTGTGTGTATGTGTGTGCAAGTACAGATGCCTACAGAGGCCCAGAGGACTTACAAGTGGTCTCAAGCCACTTGGTGTGGGTGCAGGGAACCAAAGAACAGAGCTGGAAGAACAGTACAAGCTCCTAACCACTGAGCCAGCTCCCCAGTGTTTCTGTTGGTTTGGTTTTAGTTTTGTGTTTTTTTGGTGTGTGTGTGGCAGTGGGGGGGGTGGGGGATGGTGAGGTGGGTGTTGGTTTTTCAAGACAGGGTTCCTCTGTTTAGCAGCCAGACCTTGTCTTGTTCTTTAACTTAAAGAGAAATAATAACCAGAAAGTTATTTTGCAAGCCCTTGCTTTTACCAGGTATCCTGAATAGTAGTTTTCAGAAACAAATAGAAGCTAGGCAATGATGGCACATGCCTTTAATCCCAGTACTAGGGAGGCAGAGGCAGGCTGATCTCTGAGTTTCAGGCAAGACAGCCTGGGCTACACAGAAAAACCCTTTCTCAAAAACAAAACAAAACAAAAAAACCCACATGCAACAGTAACAAATAGAAAATAGTATTTAATACTTCTAATACAATAATTCTAGATGTTATGTAAAATGTGATACGTGTTTATCTGTGTATGCATGTTTGTGTATGTGTATATGTTCAGAGGAAAACCTCAGGTGTTGGTTCCTGCCTTCCACCTTGTTTGAGGCAGGGGCTCTCGTTTGTCTATGCTAGGTTAGCTGGCCCTTGAGTTCGGGGATTCTCCCATCTCTCTGCCACAACAAGGACTACAGAGGTGTGCTACCATGTTTGGTTTTTTTTTGTGGGTTTCAGGGATTTGAACTCAACTCCCCAAAACTGGGAGCATTCCCTTTAACACTGACCATCTCCTCAGTCTGAATTCTCCTTTTTCTTCATAGGTTTTACAGCTCTTTAAAACACTGCACAGGACCAGACAACAGGTTTTTAAAAATGATAGGAGAGCATTAGAAGGTAAATATATCTTTCCTTCCTTTAGAGAAAAATCATGCTTTTGCTTTATTGTTATATCTATCTACCTGTCTATGTATATTTATTTTTCTGTTTATTTTTGCGGTGCTAGGAACTGAACTGAGAGCCTCACACATGCAAGGCAAGCGCTCTACCACTGAGCTAGGTAGCCAACCTGAGCCAGGATCTTAAATATCCCAATCTGGCTTTGAACTTGCTTTTCTGGAGGATGACTTTGGACTCCTAATCCTCCCATCTGAGATGTGTGTCCCCACGCCCCTGGTGCACATTCATCCTTTAGCTGACCACTCTATGGCACCATCTCTCCCTGGTGCTCTATAAAGACCTGCTTACATCATACTCACGGAAGAATACGTAAATATTTATAGAGATCAAGTTTTCATACAGGATCAGTGAAAAAAGAAGGGGCAGGTCAAATTCAAGGTTCTCCCTTAATCCCATTTCTATGCATCATAACCTAACTCTTCTACTTTAGAACCAGGTGCTACCGTGCTGTTTATGCCTGAGCAAGTGTAGCAGTCACTGCAGCTGTGGCAGAATCCAGCCACGTGAATCCTGACTCAGCATCTCCATTTTGAAGTGGTTTCGGGCTCACCTGGGAAGTCACAGCTTTAACCCTCAGCCTCTGCTTGATTGTTGATTTCCACCCTCCATCCCTTTCCAAACCTCCCCTAAGAGGGCAAAGCATTCCCAGGAAATCAGATTTTGTCATTTCTTTTAAATTTTGATTTTTATTAATTTTAATTGTGCATGTGCTGTGCGGGTGCCCACAGAAGCCTGATGCATAGGGCGCCCTGGGAGCTAGAGTCAAGAGGCAGTAGTCAGTCACCTGCTGTGGGTGCAGAGAACCACACTCAGGTCCTCTGCAGGAGCGGTGGCTGTTCTTAACTGCTGAGCAACCTCTCCAGCCCCTAGTTTAACAAACACACCGTTTCACACACTTTACACCCATTTCTAACAGTCCTCAGTTCTGTGAGGCAGTTACAACTCCAACTTTTGTAGCTGGGAAAACTGACAAAATATTAAAAAGATTTCCCACATGTCCTTACTGAACAGTAGAATGAGGAGTACCTGAAGCAGTCTCATTCCAGAAGCCACACTCCTTTTCCTTTTGTTTTGTTTGCTTTTGTTTTTTGAGACAGGCTTTCTCTGTGCAACTCTGGCTGTCCTGGAACTCATGTAGACCAGGGTGGCCTCAGAGATTCACCTGACTCTGTCTCCCAAGCTCTGGGATTAAATGTGTGTGCCACCACTGCCCAGCTCAGACTGTTTTTTTTTAAGTTTTATTTTTATTACTTAATATGTATGGGTGTTTTGCTTACATGTATATTTGTGCACCGCTTGGGTGCTGGGTGTCCTGGGAAGCCAGGAAAGACACTGAATCCCCTGGAGCTGCCACTGAGCCATCTCTCCAGCTTCCAAAATATCAGACTCTTTGTTTTGTTTTGTTTTTCAAGACATGGTTTCTCTGTGTAGCCCTGGCTGTCCTGGAACTCTCTTTGTAGACCAGGCTGGCCTCGAACTCACAGAGATCTGCCCGCCTCTGTCTCCCTGAGTGCTGGGATTACAAGTGTGTAAGACCAGACTCTTAACCACCTTGCATACCAAGGAAGATCAGCACTGAAGGAGATTTCCACAGCTCTGATCTTTTTCTATCAGCATGGTCTATTTTGTTGCTTTAGCCAACATTTGTTGAGGATTTACAAAGAACTTCATACAGATTGTTCTACTACATGCTCACAACACAGCGAGGTCAGTTAGACTAGAGCAGATTAAGCGGCAGTCGTGCGGGTGGTATATGTGATCGGTAAGGGTTTTGTGTGGCTGTCCTGGAACTCAACATGTAGACCAGGCTGGCCTCAAACTCACAGGGCACCTCCTGCCTCTGCCCCCACCCCTCCAGTACTTAGTTCAAAGACAGGCAGCACTCCACCTAGCAACTTCGCTTTTATTTTCACTTTTGTGTCAGCCAAGGTGCTTGGGATCAAGTCTTCCATCCTGATGCATGTGTGTGTGTGTTCAGGTGAAGGTTACATGCCTGTTTGCACTGGCTCTCACCATCTTCGCGAAGCATCGCAGTTGGGTGTGGCAGCCCATGCATGTAACCCCAGCACTCTGGAGGTTCACAGGTTCAGTGACAGCCTGGGCCATCTCAAAACAAAGCGAAGCAGGGCATTGCTTACCTGGCTTTGGATTTCTTAGAATTCAGTAGTTCGGTTGGTACACAAATGTAGTTAAAAAGAAGTTGAAACAAAGGCTGGAGGATCTCTGTAGGTTCAAGGCCAGCGTGGTCTACACAATGAGTTCCAGAACAGCCAGGGCTATGTTGAGAGACCCTGTCTCAAAAAAAAAAAAAAAAAAAAAAAAGGAAAAAAGAAAAAGAAAAGTTGTGCTTGCTTCGGCAGCACAAATACTAAAATTGGAATGGTACAGAAAAGATTAGCATGGCCCTTGTGCAAGGATGACATGCAAATTTGTGAAGCATTTTAAAAGAAAAAGAAAAGAAGCTGAAGACAAAAGGCAAAGGGGACCAGAGTATGAGAGCACTAAGTCTCTTTCATAGATTCACCCAGCTCTCAAGAGCTCCCCAGGAGCCCAGGAGATTTGGTTAATCCTTTTTTTTTTTTTTGAGACAGAACCTCACTATATGGCCCACCCAAGCTGGCCTTAAGCTTGAAATCTTCTGCCTCATCCTCCTAAGTCCTGCTGTTATGGTGTATAACACCATCATTGCAATACATTCTCATGTAACACATCTCACATGTTTTATGTGAGAAGCAGAGATCCATGAGTAACACTGAATAATATGTAAGAATCTTAAGTATTAAGCTGGGCATGGTGGCGCACGCCTTTGATCCCGGCACTCAGGGACATAGAGACAGTTGGAGCTCCGTGAGTTCAAGGCCAGCCTGGTCTAAGGAGCCCGTCCAGGACAGCCAGGGCTACACAGAGAAACCCTGTTTTGAAAAACAAACAAACAAGCAGAATCATAAGTATTAATTTCGTGTATTTCTTTCTCTCTCTAGCAGCCAGAGTAAAGATAAATGAAGAATTCAAAAAACACAAAAGTGAGACCTCTCCGGAGAAAATAAAAGAGGTGCAGTAATAGGTTTCAATTATAAAGCTGGCGTAAATGTTTTTTGTGAAGAGGGGGTGTGGGAATGGAGGTTTGTGTGAAGGAAAGCTATCATATCACAGCTGTGGACAACCCTGGACGTGTTTGCACTGGCTCCCTTCCTCAGGACTATCTCCGGCCCCCGAAGATAACAAGGTCCCCCGGGAAGAGAGCTCAGACCTGGCCCTGGTCAAGTCCAGAGTAGGTGAACCATGGCGGAAGCCATACCATCCTTTCTTCACTTGAGACAAGTGACGACAGATAAGCAACGAGCACTGTCATGACGCAACACTTCAGAGGGAATTTTCTGCTCTATTATCAAAAGTAGACTGTTTTTTTTTTTTTTTTCTGGGGGTGGAGAGATGGTTCTGCGTTTGAGGTCAGCCTGGTCTGCAGAGTGAGTTCCAGGACAGTGAGGGCTACACAGAGAAACCCTGTCTTAAAAACAAACAAACAAAAAAGGTAAGACAATTATTTGTGGGGATACTTATGGTATAAAGAATTGATTTGGTAATGGAGAAAATACAAATAAGAGAGTGTTTCCCATATTTAATAGCATTTATACAAGTGAATGAAATATTAGGTTTGTTTATTTTTATTATTTTTTTGAAACAGGGTCTCACTATATAGCTCTGGCTGTCCTAGAACTCATAGTGTAGATAAGGCTGGCCTTGAACTCACAGGGACTGCCTGCCTCTGCCTCCGAGTGCTGGGATTAAAGGTGTGTGCCACCATGTCCAGCCCCCAACATATTTAAAAATATATAACAGAAAAGTTCTACATCTGTTTTTGAACAAAATATGGGTTGTCTAGATAAAAGTGAAGAACCTCTGAAAGTCCTGCATTTCCATATACTGTGTCAAGAGCTAAAAGCCACATTCTCCAAAAGGGACCTGTAAAAGTGTGGTTTTTAAAGCCAGTGCAGTCCTATGACGCACTCAGGGGTTACTCTGTTTGATTTTCTTAACAGATGATGAAAATAGGCTCCGATGTTGAACTATTGCTCAGAACATCTGTCATTCAAGGTATTCACACTGACCATGACACACTGAGTAAGTAAAGCATGAGAAAACTGACTGTGATGTTTCAAAATAGTGAACAATTAATGTACCGTGGTCTCTATTTTATTTATTATTATTAATCTTTGGGGTTTTTTCCCCTTTGAGACCGGGTTTCACTGTGTAGCCCTGGCTGTCTCAGAGCTTCCTGTGTAAATCAGGCTAGCCCCTCTGCAGGATTAAAGACGTGACCACACCTACCATGCTGGCCTTACTCTAACATTAACAGCAGGAACTGAATTCAAATTCTCATGCTCATGCAGCAAGCATTAACTGAGCCATCTCCCAACCTCGTTTCTATTTTTACTTTTAAGGTATTTTGTTTTTGTTTTAGATTGTTGTTGTTGTTGTTTGGTTTTTGGAGACAGGGTTTCTTTGTGTAAGTTGACCAGGAAGTAGCTCTGTAGATCAGGTTGGCCTTGAACTCATGGAGGCCCACCTGTCTCCCAAGTGCTAGGATTAAACGCATGTGACACCACCACCCGGCTTATTTTTAGATTTTGAAGTTGTATTTTATGTGTATGCATGTCTGTGCACCCCACCCATGTGTGCCTGGTTTTGGCAGAAGTCACAAGAAAGTGTTGGAGCCCTGGAGTTAGAATGGTGTGAGCCATAATGTGAATGCTGAGAATCGAATCCAGATCCTCTGCTTTTAACTGCTGAGTTATCCCTCTAGCACCTTTCTTCCCCAAAATCTTAATTCCTGGTTATATTGCAAAATTGTTGTTATAAATACATCTTTTTTTTTTTTTTCTTTCCAAGACAAGGCCTCACTATGTAGACCAGGCTAGCCTTGAACTCACAGACATCTGCCTTATTCTGCCTAAAGTGTACTGGGATTAAAAAGTACACCACTACTTTCCAGCCAACTGTTTTCATATAACCTTATTTTTAAAAAATTCTGGCATCATTTATTATCTACCTAGACTAAGTCTATTCTTTTATCTTTTATTCTATAATAGGTACATATATACATACATATGAGAAGATAGTTTTCTTTTCTGCATAGATTCTTTTTTTTTTTATAAAGATTTATTTATTATGTATATAGTATTCTACCTGCATGTATACCTTTGTGCCAGAAGAGGGCCCCAGATCTTATTATAGATGGTTGTAAGCCACCATGTGGTTGCTGGGAATTGAACTCAGGGCCTTTGGAAGAGCAGTTGGTGCTTTAAACCTCTGAGCCATCTCTCCAGCCCCAAAGGATAGTTTTTATACTGTGGGTTCCCGAGATTAAATTTGGGGATCCAGGCCTGGTAACTGCTGAGCCATCTCACAGGCTGCTGAATTTGCATTTGCCTGCCAACTAGTGAAGTGTGTGAGCACCTTTCAGTTGATTCGTGGAGATTGGAATATTCTCTAAAAGTACCAGTAAAGCCTCTGGCCACTTGTCTAGGGGGTTTTTGCCTTTTTTATTGACTTGAAGGAATTCTTGTGTATGTATATCCTAAGAACCTCCTACCTGTGGCTTTTCCCTTCGAGGAATTCCTTATTTTAATATAGTCTAGCTGATCCATTTTTCCTTTATGGTGGGTACTTTTGGGTCCTGTCGACGAAGACTTTGTGTCAAGCAAGGTCGTAGAGGGATTCTCCTGTGCTTTGTTCCAGAAGGTAGCTTTCTGGTTATCCGCCAATGTTGGCTTTATGTTTGTTTGTTTGTTTTTTTTTAATTATTTATTTTTATTTTATGTGCATTGGTGTCTTGCCTGCATGTGTGTTTTGTGTGTTCCAGCTTCTGGAACTGGAATTACAGACAGTTGTGACCTGCCATGTGGGTGCTGGGAATTGAACCCAGGTCCTCTGGAAGAGCAGAGTGCCACTGCTCTTAACCACTGAGCCATCTATCCAGCCCTGGCTTTATGTTTTAAGAGCACATGAGCTTCCACAGCAGACTAGATCACCGACCCGCGCAGAGGATTTCTACTCTGAACAAACATGAATTTAAACATCTGACTCCTTCACTGTGCAGTTGCAGAATGCAGACCCATTGCAAGCAGGCTTGATTTTAATTTCACCCTCAAGAATTCCTCCTGGTGTAGTAGAATTAGCATTTCCTTCCCCTCTCCCCTTACAGGAGGACAGCATCTCACACTCCATTTTTTGTTGCCCTCTATAGTTCTAGCTGTTTTGGAACTTGCTGTTTAGACCAGGCTAGCCTCAAATTCAAAGAATTCAAGGAAAAAAGAACACTCTGTCTCCTGAGTGTTGGAATTAAAGGCATGTGCCACCAGGCTGGGCATGGGATCTCCTATTTCTTGAGGTCACTCTCTGGAAACCCATCAGTTTCAACTTGCAGCAGGTCTTCATGCCTCACCACGCCTTCATTGTCTAAGATGGGTTTCAAGATTGCTCGCTTTGCTTTGGAGCAAGCTGCGTGAAGCAAACTCTTACAGGCATTCTTCTCAGTCTGGCCTAGGCAGGGGTCATCCCTATGACTCAGCAGCTGTAATCAGCAGTCCAATCCCAGAGACTCACGAAAACTGGGCTTTCCTCACGACTGTAGCCTTGAAGCCAGAACTTGAACAGCTTTGTAAAAAGGAGTCTTTATAAGATAATGGAAGGCTGTAGCTTTGTGGTAAGGTAGAAACAGTAGCAGCCGGTTTTGGAGATCCTTCATACCACTTACCGTCGTTGAAAACTGAAGGTTAATGTGGCCGCCAGACAGCTGCTTCAGCTGTAGCCATGGTGATAAATGTTTTCCCAGAGCCTGGAGGCGTGGAGACAGGAATACACTTTGGAGGCTGCAGAAGTTTAGACTTCCGAAACCAGTGCTTTCTGACAGGGGACATGTCTGTCAGCTCTACGATGGTGTCATCTAAGCCTGCTGTGACTTCCAAGTAACATATACGTTAAGAGGGTCACTGGGTGAGGAGCTGTTGTGAGGTATCCCCCAGAGAAGACCATGTGGACACAGGTTCAAGGACGATAAAAAGACTTAGCTGGCTGGCAACTTCACTGGGGGTTCAGGACCCGAGTGCAGTTCCTAGGGTCTTCCTCAGGGTGGGCTTTTAAACACAAAAAACCACATCCTGGGTTGACATACTTCATTTAGGGTCTCTCCCAGACTATGGACTTTGACGGGTTGAGACCTTGTTCTTGTTTTGGCAGATGTTGCTGCCCGTGTTTTGGGTTCCAGGCCCGAATGGTACTCCCATTATGGTGTCAGTTGTGCTAAAGTCTGTTACACAGCGATGCCTGTCCATGCTCTGAGAGTTCCACACCCTGCACACCGGTTTCCTTTGTTTCTCTGTTTCTGAGCTGCCTTCTGCTTGGAACAATTGATCTACCGTCCTTTGATAGTAAAGTATGTGAATGAGCTGAACGCTGTTAAATGCAAAGTGAACCAACAGTTCACTTTCAACTCAGTCAGAGAGAAGAGACTGTAACATCCCAGTCGTTGACACCCAAGCAGGAGGGCCAGAGGCCATAGAGCCCACACCCGAACTTTTCCTTTAAGATTTTACTGTTTAGTTAAAAGATGCTTGTTTATTTATATGTGTGTGTACCTGAATATATATTATATTAAATTATATCTTAGATATATGTATATATACATATACACATTATATATCACATATATTCAGACACACACACACACACACACACACACACACACACACACACATCGTGTGCACGCAGTAGCCTGAGGAGGTTAGACCTTCTGGAACTAGAGTTACCTGATCTGGATACTGGGAACTGAATGAGTAACAAATGCTGTTAACCCTTCAGCTATCACTCCATTCCCCTGTCTAATTTGTTTGTTTTGTTTTAAGAGACAGGGTCTCCAGGCTACCTTGTCTCTCTCTCTCTCTCTCTTTTTTTTTTTTTTTTTTAATTTATCAAGACAGGGTTTCTCTGTGTAGCCTTGGCTGTCCTGGACTCACTTTGTAGACCGGGCTAACCTCAAACTTAACAGCGATTCACCTGCCTCTGCCTCCCCGAATGCTGGAATCACAGGCTTTCGACACCATGCCCGCCAGCTTCCAGGCTACCTTGTAATTCATTATGTAGCTGATGACCTTGAACTTCTGTTCTTGCTGCCTTTCTACCTTCTGAGTGTTGGGATTCCCAATATGTACCACCATGCTTGATATATGTGTATACTAGGCAATCACTCTATTGTCAGTGCAAAAACACAGCTTTACCTCAAAAGGTGCCCTCTGAAGTCAGAAAAGGGCATCAGATCTGCCTTTCTGTTTTTGTTTTTTTAAATTTATTTATTTATTATATATACAATGTTCTGCCTCCATGTACGCCTATATGCCATAAGAGGGCACCAGATCTCATTATAGATGGTTGTGGGCCACCATGTGGTCACTGGGAATTGAACTCAGGACCTCTGGACCTCTTAACCTCTGAGCCACCTCTCCAGCCCAGATCCGCCTTTCTTTAGCCCAGCCCAAACTATATAGTTTGTTTTTTGAGACAGGGTTTCTCTGTGTAGCCCTGGCTGTTCTAGAAGTCACTCTGTAGTCCAGGCTGACCTCAAACTCACAAAGATCCACCTGTCTCTGCCTTCCAAGTGCTAGGACTAAAGGTGTGCCCTACCACTACCCAACTTTCAGCCCAATATTTTTTTATCCTCTCTAGCATAGACGTAAGACAAAATTGGTTTGTATTGCTAAATATATGTGATAACATTAAGAAAATACAGCAAGATTTTCTTCCCCCAAGACAGGGCTTCACCTTGTACACTATGTAGCTCAGGCTGTCTTGGCATTCACTGTATAAGCCAAGCTGCCCTCAAACCCGCTGCCTGCCTCTGCCTACAAGTACTGGGATTAAAGGCATGCACTACTGTCCCTGGCTCAGATATCTTTTTTTTTTAACCTCTGCCTTGTGTGTGTGTGTGTGTGTGTGTGTGTGTGTGTGTGTGTGTGTGTGTGTATGTATGTGTGTATGGAGGCCGGAAGTTGACATCAGGTGTCTTGGATTGCTCTCCACCTAGCACTTAACAGACAAGGTCTCTCACTGGATCTGGAACTCACTGGTTTTGGCTAATCTGGCTAGCTTGCCAGCCCCAGAGATTCACTCGTGTCCACCTCTCTAGCTCTGAGACCATAGGTGTGTGTTTCTGTATGGGTACCAGGGATCAAAGCTCTGGTCCTGTGCTTGCACAGCCAGCATTTTATCAGCTCAGCCATCTGCTCAGCCCCACACTTCTGCCTTTCCTTTTACATTTGTCATTGTCAAATGACATCTGATTTTTTTTTCCTAAGACAAATTAATGTGACTCAACCCATACTTATGGAATCCTCATTGTAGTAGGCACTGGGGTTTATGTGGAACAACAGGCAGGACAAACCTGGTTCCTGTCCTTATAAAACGTGTACTCTTTGTGAAAGACTGATAATTAAATATCCCCCACAGCCTTCTCTGCATGTCAGCAGAGCTCTGAGCTTAAACACAGGCAGGCACAGGTTCTTGGGGAGAACACGACCAAAGTGTAAGCTCCCCATTTCAGCTTATTGTTATTTATGTGCCTGATATATTTAGCAGTATTTTTTTTTTATAAATTTAAAATATCTTTTTTTTTGTTTTGTTTTTTTGAGACAGGGTTTCTCTGTGTAGCCTTGGCTGCCCTGGACTTGATTTGTATACCAGGCTGGCCTCAAACTGGTAGAGATCCACCTGCCTCTGCCTCCTGAGTGCTGTTGCCTTATGAAGTGGTCTGGTGGGAGGACTGGGAGGAAAGGAAGGAGGGGACACAGCGGTCTAGATGTAATATATGATAGGATAATTTTTTTTTAAACTTAAAAAGGTAAACACAAAAGATGACTATTCACAACATAAAGTGCATAGTAATGTGAAAAATAAATAAACAAATAAATAAGATTAAAAAAAGAAGAAGAAAAAGAAGTGGTCTCAAGGTAAGGACCAGCAATGCGGCAGATTGTAGAGACCATTACTAAAAGATAACCGTCCTTATTGCTTAAAATCGGGTCAAGATGCTTGCCTGTGGCTTCTTGTTTTGGAAACAACTGGAAACAGACTTGAAGTTTATAGTTTTTGAGCACATTATATTGCTAAGGCTTGTCTAATTTACTCTAACTCTTAGAGCCATCCCTGGTCTCCTGAACTCAGAGTAACAGGAAATGGACTGTGACAGCTTCTGAGGCCCCCAGAAGGGCTTGTCTTCCCCAAGGTCTCCATCTTTCCAGGACAGGAAGTGGCTCAGAGGCTAGCGCTGGCCAGCATCTGTGTAGTCGAATTCATCAGAGGGGGGCTTTGCATCTCTTGAAATAGATTTGGTAATGCCAAATTGGCAGGCTCAAGATTTATTCCTTACCAAATTAAGATGTCTTTACCTTTTCCTGTCCCCGGGATTAGGATTTTTTGTGGTGCAGTCACTACTATGCATTCGCAATCTCCTGTTTTTATTTTTCATCTCATCGTCTATGTCTATTTCTAACCAAAGTGGGTAGCTATCTACCATCTGAGCCACAGATGGACCCAATGGGCAGAGCAGGCCAGTCTATTAATCAGAGGCCCCTATGTGAATCTGGGTGAGGCTCTGGGGACAGGAAGTAAATGGGGGTGTTCTGTGAATTGCTTATGTCCACGTTGCATATCCAGAGAGGGACATCAAAGAAGGATATAATGTGATTTCCCAGACTTTCCGGCATCCTTCATAAGCACCTATCCACTGAGTGTTATTTCCACGGAAGCCTTTGTTTTGTTGAAAAGGAATGGGCTGGGTGGGGCTCCCCTCCTGCCCTTTGTTCTTCCTGCCTGCCATGCAAATGTGGTGTTAGCAGAAGGGAAGGCTGCTGTTCACCGAGGGCTGCAGACCAGACCGGGAGGGAAGATCGTGGGTTCTTAGCAGCACCAAGGATTTGACAAGCTCAGACCTGTTGTCTCAAAATGGCAGAAAATTATCTCTCTCTTGGTTTTTTGAGACAGGGTTTCTCTGTGTAATAGCTCTGACTGACCTGGAACTCTGTAGACCAGGCAGGCCTCAAACTGAAAATTAAGTTTCTTGTTAAACCACTGTTTGACAAACTTCTGGTTATTCAAAGCTGAACATAATCTAAAGTGATTTTGATAGGTTTAGTAATTTATTTCACTATAACAGGCATTTGTGAATCCATATATTATTACAGTGTGATTTGTTCTTTATCTTATCTTTTCCAAGAGATTATGAGCCCCTTGAAGCCAAAGATTATGTAGCTCTGGCCGTTGTTCTGGATTTGCAATGGAGACCAGGCTGGCCTTGAACTCAGAGATCCACCTGCCTCTGTCTCCTTGGTGCTGGGATTAAAGGTGTGTGCCACCAGCACACAGCTAACAAGGCCCTTTCTAGCAGGAAGAAACTGCTTTCCCCTGTGGTCCAGGGTGCCAATGAGTGTCCAGTGCCTCCTGAGTATAGAACAGTTGCTTCATCTTTCATAACCGTGTTTGAAGAGTGTAGGCAGGTTCTGAGAATGGCTGTTAAGGGAGTCTTTGCTCTCTTGTCTGACCAGAATCTTATATATCCCAAGGTGGCCTAAACTCCCTATGTAGCTGAGGATGACCTTGACTTCTGAGTCTCCTTCCTTCACCTCCTGGGTGCCAGGGTTATAAGTGTGTATCAGTACACCAGGTGGCCTGGGGGTTGAGCGAAGGGCACTCTGCCAACAGAGCTGCATCCCCAACCCTGTTTTTGTCAAGACAGGTTTAACTCGGCTGGTCCAGAACTCGTGTAGCTCAAACTGTCCTCAAAGTCACGGTGATCCTCCTGTCTGAGCCTCCCAACTGTTAAGATTATGCGTGAGACACCATACTGAGCCTCATGAGGATGGCTTAGTGAGTATTGAACCCGGGGCCTTTGAGCCAGGGTCTCACTGTAGCTCAGACCAGCCATGCTCATGCTGTGTGCTACACGCTGGCCTTGAATGCAGATCTCGCTGCCTTTGCCTTTGACTCCTGGGATTATAGACATGCACCAACATATCTGGGCAGTTTTCTCTTTTGTTGTCCATCTTTCGTGCATGTGTGCGCATGCACACAAATATGTTTTTACATGTGGAAGCATGCATATGTGGACCCCTGAACCCAATGCTGGGAATTGTCCTCCATCACTTTCTTTTTGTTCATCGAAGCAGGATTTCTCAGCTAAACACACAGTTCTCTGATATGGCTAGTCATGCTGGCTCACATAATGATCTGATCCTCACATTAGCACAGAAAGCACTTTAACTAAACCCTGAGCAATCTGTGAGGCCCCAGCATTTTCTGTTTTAGGAATTTTATCTTGACCCTATCAAGTTGTCTTGCCCAGTATTCAACAGTTGTTTGTTTGTTTAGCAGTGTGTCCCAGTGGGGGCACTGCTGTCATTCTGTCATGACAGTTCCTCACTGCACCAGACTGTCTTTCACACTGCAGCTAGCATCCTTGGTTCCTGCCCAGTAACATTTTAGTGTCTGAAGATTTCCCCAGTTAGGAACCATTGTTCTAGCAGACAGGGGTGTAGCTCAGTAGTAGGCTAGAAGCTTAGCAATGTGTGAAGCCCTGGGTTTGGTCCCAGCACCAAAACTAAAAGAAAAGGAGGAAAGAAGAGAGGAAGTTATGGGAGTGGATGGGAACCATTGTTCTCTAAATGTGGACTGTCTAAATTTTTTGTTTGTTTTTTGTTCTTTTTCACTTTTGTTTTTTTAAGACAGGGTTTCTCTGTATGGTAGTTCTGGCAGTCTTGGACTCGCTTTGTATAGACCAGGCTGGCCTCGAACTCACAGAGATCCGCCTGCCTCTGTCTCTCGAATGCTGGGATTAAAGGTATGTGTCACCACCATGCCCAGTGGACTGTCTAAATTATGAGAGTGACATCTTGCTTTCAATAAAAATTTCCAAGTAGCCAGGCATGGTGTGATACACCTATAATCCCATCATTGGGAGATGGAGGCTGGAGGATCAGGAGTTCAAGGTTAGCCTCAGCTACATAGGGGGTTCAAGGCTAGCCTGAGCTACATGAGATCCTGTCTCAAAAACCATTCATAAGTGACATTTTTAATTAGCAATGACAGATGGCCATTAATGTGTTGTTAGCTTAATTCTGTTCAGTTAATTATTCATGTTTAATAAAATAAAGGACTTAGTGGTATATGTTTTTATGTATCATGAATGCTGCCATTTAAAGTCAAAGATTTCACCTCAGACATCAACTGAAATAAAATGTCTCTAGAAGAGTTGTCTTCATGGTTTCTAAAGTAGACAGCGTCTGGTTAGAACTCGTAGGGGAAATGGACGTGTTGGCTCCTAGGTCTGATCTGAGGTTAAATAGTGACTGGAGTTCTGATCATCTTAATCGTTCCTCTCTCTGTGTTCCTTTTAGAACTGGTTCCCAGGAAAGATCTTCTTATAGAAAACGTGCCCTACTGTGACGCACCAACCCAGAAGCAGTAAAGCTGCCAGGACAAAACCAGCCTCTGCTCCTTCCCACTTAAAATACATACATGACAAAGATCCTGGCCACGCACATGTTTCTCTCTGAGTCACGGGCTGGGGGCTGCAGAGCGCCGCAGTGTTCTGAGGACACAGCAGTACCCTCCCTTCTCACTGACAGGCAGCCCTTACATGGAGACTGAATGCTTGGGGTGGAGGGGCATTCTTCTCTTTCCCTTTGGTAGGTGTTTTGGTCTTACCAAAGCTGTTTGCCAATGAAGCACTTTCCCAACTTGGTGATTTCCCACCCCATGGGAAACACAACTGCTAAATATAAAATGCTACACTGAATTGGTGTTTAATCCCCCAAGTATTAAGTTGGTAAAGAGTTAACATTTTTCTGCCAGCTCTCCGCTTAAAGCAGCCATTGTTTCCAAGAGTCCTGTGGTTATTTCTGCAGCCAACGAAGATTATGTAGCTTGTTTCTCTGAATTCTTATAGAGACAACTTTCCCCTTCTTTTATGTGTATGGATGTTTTGCTTGCATAAATGTCCATGGTGTCTACAGAGGTCAGGAGAAGAGATCCCCTGGGACTGGAGCTGTAGATGGTTGTGAGCTGCCATGTGGGTGCTGGGAATTGAACTTAAGTTCCCTAGGACAGCATCCAGTGCTCTAAATCACTGAGCTACCTCTCCAGGCCTTATAAAGACATTTTAAACAGTCTTCTGAAGATAGCTAGATGGAATGTTAAAATCACTGGGTCACTATAGAATAAAGACATCCCAGCATTTTTAGGAAGTAGTGGCCCTCTGTCAGACTACTTGTGGTCTTGTAGAACTAGCTGTATTTGGATCACAGACTGTTGTGAAATGTTATAGATAGCTACATTCTCTCCCTCTCTCTCCCTTCTTCCCCCTCTCCCTCCCTCCCTCTCTTTTCAGGTAGGATCTCACTGTGTAGTTCTAGCCTCAAACTCTGAGATCCACTTGAGATGGATTGCTGTGATTCAAGGACAGCCTGGTCTACAAAGGGAGTCCAGGATAGCCAAGGCTACACAAAAAAAGAAAGGTGTCTCAAAAAAACAACAAAAACAAAGCAAAACAAAACAAAAAAGCAAGCAGGGCCTGAGATGGCTCAGTGGTTAAGGACTCTTGCTGCTCTTCCCTAAGACCTGATTTCAGTTCCCAGCACCCCTGTCAGGTAGATCACAACAATCACTTCCGCTCCAGGGGTCTAGTGCCCTCTGCTGGCCTCCAGAGGCACTGCATTTACATGTACAAACTCAAACCAACAATATGCACATATACGTAATAAAAATAAAGGAATCTTGGAGCAAGAAATCCAATTAGCAATTCGTTTGTGTGCATTAGTGTTTTGCTGCCATGTATGTCAGTTCACCACAGTGTGCCTGGTGCCCACAGAGACCACAAAAGTGTGTCAGATCCCTTAGAACTAAGATGGTTGTGAGCTGCCATGTGGGTGCTGGGAATTGAGCCTAGGTCCCCTAGAATAGCAGCCAGTGCTCTTAAGCACTGAGCCAGCTCTCTTGGCCCTCAACCCAATTTTTTTTTTAAGACTTATTTATTTATTTACTACTTACACAGTATTCTACCCGCGTGTGTGCCTGCCGACCAGAAGAGGGCACCAGACCTCAGATGGTTATGAGGCACCTTGTTGCTGGGAATTGAACTCAGGACCTCTGGAAAAACAGCTAGTGCTCTTAACCTCTGAGCCATCTCTCCAGCCCCCCTCAAATTAGTTTTAAAAATAAATATTTGAACAGATGCCTCATCGAAAAAGAGTCACAGGAGCTGACTTGCAAGTCTTGGAACCCACATGATGGAATGAGAGAACCAAATTCATGCACACACAATCCTAATTTTTATTTTTTATTTTTTGTTTTTTTGAGACAGGGTTTCTTTGTGTAGCTGTCCTGTACCTCACTCTATAGACCAGGCTGGATTCAAACTCGCAAAGGCCTGCCTCAGCCTACTCTTAAGGCTCTGCTGGGTTTAAAGGTGTGTGCCACCTCTGCCTGGCTAATTTTTTTTTTTTTTTTAGATTTATGTATTTTACTCTATTTTATGAATGTTTTGCCTGTGTGCGTTTATGTGTGCCACATGAAACTTTGTTGTATCATCCCCTGGGGTTGTGGATGGTTGTCAGCCAACATTCGGGTGTTGGGAATTGAGCCCGGGTCCTTTTCAAGAGCAACAAGTGCTCTTAACCACTCAGCTATCTCTCCAGCCACACTTTTTCGTTGTTGTTTAACATTGTCAGGTACTGGAAATTAAAAGCACAGTGACATACTGTTATGTATCTATTAGAATGGCCAAAGTCTGGATGGCTGACAGTATCAAGTGTTGGCAGGGATAAGGCTTTTCTGAGACAGGATCTTACTCTGTAGCCCTGGCTAGTCTGGAACATACTATATTTGCTTTTTGCCTTATTTTATCAAATCCCTAGATTATCCACCATCCTTTTGGCTCAGGACAGATCCAAGATTTATTGTGATGGTTACTTGTGTTCCGTCGTGATTTCAGGCCAACCCTTTAAGGGTGACGTTTCAGCAAAACATGGCAGCAGACAGGAAACACTTGGCTAAGCCTGGTGGGGAGTGGGGGTGGGGTGAGCATAACATTAAAATGACTGTTTCTACTGGCCTATTTGTGCCAATCAAGTTCCACCTCCTAAAGGTTCCACACTCTTCAAAACAGCCCTACAAGTTAGGGAGAAAAAAAAAGCATTTAAAACACAAACCTGTGGGAGGCATTTTAGAGTCAAACTGTAACTATGTGTGTTTGTGCGTGTGCACCTGTGATCGCGTACATGCACGGAAGTCAGAGAATAACTCTGGGAGTTGGTTCTCTGGGAATTGAACTTGGGTCATCAGGTTTGGCAGCAAGCACCTTTTTTTCTACTGCGCCACCTCACTGATCCACACCACATGTATCTTGAGTTAGAACTGTGACGGGCTGGGGCTGTAGCTCAGCGGTACAGCACTTGTACAGTATATACAAGGCCTGGGGTTCAGTCTCCAGGACTGCAGGAAAAACAACAGAGGAAACAGAGTGAGGACTGATAATTCTGTGAGAAGTCTGCGGAGGTGTGGGCTGGGATGGCCCAGTGGGGACTCTGTGCCTGCCTCTGTCAGGCGGCCCAAGGATACCTGGAGATTCCCATACTGCTTTTCAATTTGAAAATTCATTCTAGGGATAAGGATGTGGCTCTGTTTGCCAAACGCTTGCTTAGTATAACCGAAGCGGTTCCCAGCACTGGGGGTGCTGGGGTGGGGGAGTATTAGAGGCTTGAAGATCAGAAGTTCAAGATCAACCTCAGCTTTATAGGAGCCTATGATGTGTGAGACCCTGTCTCAAAAAATGATAATGGAATAATTGATTAAAACATTGCTTATAAGCTATAATACACAGTGTGCTGTAGTTTTATTGTCTTTCATTTTTTAAAACGTGTGTGTGTGTGTGTGTGTGTGTGTGTGTGCGCGCGTGCGTGCATGTGGGTATGTACATGTGAGTGTACGTGCCTGTGGATGAGAGGTGTCAGATCTCCTGGAACTAAGCGTTACATGTGATTATAACCTGACTGAATTGGGTGCTGGGACCTGAAGTCTGGGCCTCTGGAAAAGGGAACAGGGTTCTCAACTGCTGAGCCATTTCTCTAGCCCCCGGTTTTTCTATCTTAAATATAAGTGGGACCTAAGGAAATACTCAGTGGACCTGGGCATGGCTGTGCACATTTCTTAATCCCAGCACCCAAGAGGCAGAGGCAGGAGGATCTCTGTGAGTTTGAGGCCAGCCTGGTCTATACAGTGAGTTTCAGGACAGCCAGGGCTGTGTAGAGAGACGTCCATCTCAAACAAAACGATAATTAACTCAGTGCTTAAGTCGTGTAATGCTCTTGCAGGTTGCAGAACTCCAGTTCCCCAAACCCAGGTCACAGTGACTGACTCCCAGGATGTGACACCCTTTTCTCCTCTCTCCAGGCACCTGTACTCACATGCATGAGTGCACACGTACACACGGATACAGAGAGAAGTTAAGTATAACATAACTCTACACCTAACACTGTTTTTAAGAATATGAATTGAAGTTTAAAAACATTATAGCTTAGATTAGTCTCAAACGCACTATATACCAAGGCCGACCTAAAACTCCTGAGCGTCCTGCCCTCACCTCCCCACCCTGGGGATTGAGATTACAGGCATGCACCCCTGTGCCCGCTTTAAGAGAAAAATCAGCTCTTGCTGGTGATTCGGGAGTACTCTGGAGGCACTTATCAAACTTCTGGCCACACACGGCTTTTATGTAGCTTTTTTTTTTTTTTTTTTTAACTTTTATCTTTTTATTTTTGCAACAAAAAAAGTGGAAAGAGCTCATGTTTTAGCTGGGGTTCCCAGGGAAAAAGACTCCGAGACAGAGCATTGCTTGTGGGAGGTTTAAATTAGATCTCAGGAAGTGAAGGAGATAAGACACACGCCTTCAGAATCTATCTGGGCACCCTGAGGCAAGAGGATGGGAACTCTGTGTCCTGGCACCAAGGCCTGGCCTACCAGGAGAGAGGCAGAGCCTCAGGGGGGCAGTTCCTTTAAACAGGTAAATCTGAGGAAAAAGCCTCAAGCCAACACCCCCTGCAGCTGAGGAGGAAAGCTCCTGAAGGCTTCTGGCCAGAGGACACGAATGCATCCTTACCATCATTGCCTCAGATTGCCAGAGGCGGCTGAGTGTTTCTCTTCAGGGCACTGAGTCTGTTGGCCAAGAAGCTGCGTACAAGCTGGAGAGCCAAGCGAATTAACGCACCTTGCAGTCATTCATCTACCTAATATTTTTCTATTTTGAATTACAAGGAAAAATATCCATCAAAGGGTGAACAGGAGACTGGACGCTAGTCATGGTTATGTCACTGAAAATGGTGTGTCTGAGGAAATCATGGATGTGTTCTCCTGGGACATGAGTCCTACCCCCAAGCATTAAAAAAAAGAAAAATAAGGGGGCTAGAGAGATGGCTCGGTGGTTAAGAGCACTGTTTGCTCTCCCTAAAGGACCCAGGTTCAAATTCCAGCACCCACATGGCAGCTCACAACTGTCTGTAACTCCAGTTCCAGGTGATTTGACACCCTCACATCAATGCACATAAAATAAAATTAAATAAATTAGTTTTTTAAAAAAAATCTGGATTAGATGCTATGCTAGTTAGAATTGTATATATTCATCTTTTGGGGGGGGGTGAAATGGTTACACTGTGCATGTGAAGGCCAGAGGGCACCTTTCAGGAGTTGGTTCTCTCTTTCCATCACGTGGGTCCCAAGCATTAAACTCAGGCAGGCTGACATATTTAGCAGCAAGCACTCTTACCCACTGAGCCCTAGTTGGAATTACTTTAATAGGAGTCTGCTGCAGCTAGCTCTTTTTTAAAAAGTGAGGAGAAGCCAGGCACACCTGAAATCCCAGCACTCAGGGAGGCAGAGGCAGGCGGATCTCTGTGGGTTCAAGGCCAGCCTGGTGTACAAAGGGAGTTCAGGACAGCCAAGGCTACAGAGAGAAACTCTGTCTCGAAAAACAAAAACAAAAAAGGTGAGGATGCAGCTCACTTGATAGATGTCTACCTAGCATGCGTGAAGCCCCAAGTTCTATCTCTAGCATTGCATAAACCGTGAGACCAGAAGTTTAAAAGTTCAAAGCTAGGCTGGGATTACGTGAAACCCTGTTGCAAGAAATAGATTAATTTAAAACAGTTTGAAACCACAGTGGGTAAAATTTAACAATCGGCAGCAGAAATTTGACAATGATTAGAGAAGTTAGAGAAAAATCTGTTAGAAAAATGCACTCAGCCCCACTTACTTCTTAGCTCAGTGACACTAACTATGCTGATCATAACCTACCAGGCAGGGCTTGCTCAGCCTCTCCAGAGGGGAAATGGTGAGGATTTTGTTTCTCTTGTGTGTTTGGTTAGTTGTTTGTTTGTTGTTGTTTTTTGTTTGTTTTGTTTTGTTTTGTTTTTTTCAAACAAAGTTTCTCTGTGTAGCACTGGCTGTCCTGGAACTTGCTCTGAAGACCAGGCTGGCCTGAAACTCAGCTGCCTCTGTCTCCTGAGTGCTGGGAAAAAAGGTGTGCGCTGACACTGCCCAGCTACTTCCATTTTTATTTGGTTCTTTTGGTTTGGTTTGGTTTGGTTTGGTTTGGTTTGGTTTGGTTTGGTTTGGTTTTTGTTGTTGTTGTTTCAAGACAGGGTTTCTCTGTGACACCCTTGGCTGTCCTGGAAATCATTCTGTAGAGCAGGCTGGCCTCGAACTCAGAGATCGGCCCACTGCTGCCTCCCAAGTGGTGGGATTAAAGGA